ATCATTTTGGGCCCCAAAGGAAATTCACATAATTAGTTTTAATTTTATACCCATTACCGCTTGGATTAAGGACTTGAGCTTTTATGTGGGCGTTCACAAGGAGTTGTGCTGTCTTTTAAAGTAATAAGAGGTTTGTGTAAGTTTTAATGACTTAATTTAGTTGGTTATTTAATGGTAAGATGCCTATAAATTGACTATGGATCAAATGGCAGCTTCTCATAAGGCGCACACTTTTGGCATAGCGTTTTTTAGGTTGGAAATGAATACAAACATCCAGATGTTTGATAATCAAAAATTTTAATTAAATGTCCAAAATGACAGTGGTGACAAACGCTTCCCTTATTAAATTAACTTAGCTTTTTCTTTCAATGACACACTGACCATAATTTAGATAACAGTTATTGAATAGTTTTATTTATAAAAGTCAACAAAAAAGTCAGTCACCGCTTTTTATTCTTTGAGTCATATTTATAAAAGCCATTAATATTTTTCGCTGTTAATAAGGTGGCATAAATAAAAGTCTTCAATAACTGTTATCTAAGATATATAATTCAAAGAATCAAAAATTACTGTTATTTACAGATTATTGAAATAAAAATCAAAAAATAATTGTTATTTTGGATTCATAAAATAGAAATCAGGAAATGCTGTTATTTAAGGAGTAATTAAATAAAAGTCAAAAATAATTGTTAAAGAGCGATTTTATTAATAAAAGTTATAACTGTTACGGTCCCTGGCTTTTAGCTTATTTTTATCTAAAATTCGCATTCCGCATTTAACTTTTTTTGCTAACACGCTGCCCTAGCGAAATCAAATACCTTAACGTAGTGCTAGTGCGCCTCNATAACTGTTACGGTCCCTGGCTTTTAGCTTATTTTTATCTAAAATTCGCATTCCGCATTTAACTTTTTTTGCTAGCACGCTGCCCTAGCGAAATCAAATACCTTAACGTAGTGCTAGTGCGCCTCGAAAGGCAGGTAGAAAGAATAGCCCCAGAAATGTCCACTTTTTGGTAGAAATGCTGCCATGAAACCACTTTTCGAAAGCATTCCTTGGGTCACAAAACTGCCCACAACTTTTAAGTTGGTTCTTTTTCTGAAATTTTCAGAGAAATTTTACTCCACTCCCCGTTTAATCAGCCCTTGTAAAGGTTTGGCCAACGGTTTCAAAGCCACTGGAATACTTTTCGAAAGAAGATGTTTTCGCAAAGAAAATTATCTTCTTCTACTCTCTTTGAAAATTACATTTACGTATTAACTACATTTCAGGGCCGGATGAGCGCTGGGTTAGGGCCTGGGTAATAGCAGTACGGTTATGGGGTGAAAGAGGCATAGGTAAGAAATGAGAAGTAGCGACAGCATTTCTACGATAAATTACAGTTTACACAAACGCTACAATTGACTTTTACAAAAAACTAAAAACGCAAAGCCGCAGTTCAAGAACAAAATAAGGGAAATAAAAGTACAAATAAAAAACCACAACGAAAAACTAAAATAAGTAGCAATTACGCATGAAAAAATTCACACAACAAATTTAAGAGAAAAAAAAACAAAAATCTACAAAAAAGTATTTCAAAGGTTTTCTAGGAGATGCTGGCTCATATCCTTGCACACCCTTACACACAGGATATGCGTGAAATGGCATGGTGGAATTAGAAAATTGACGATTGCACGTCAAAAGGAACATAAGGGCGAGTTACTTAAGAAAATATTATTACAAATGATCGGGAAAGCAGGAAATTGTTACGTGATTTGAGCCCACAAACACTAAGCAAAAATAAAATAAAATGAAACAAAAAAAAATTGGAGAAAATCATTATGCCAGATAATTGCATTTGGGCAACAACAACAAAAATGTAGATCAGTCAGGTTAATAGTGAATGGAATATTGATAATATTTTTAAAGATGTGGAAATACTTTGTGCCATCGAATTGAAAAAAAAAAAACAAAATGCAAAAGCTTCTAGTACATGCGCATTTTTTTTTCAAAAAAAAAAAAATAATAATCACTGAACGACAAGCGAAACCACAATGTCAAGCTCATCCGATCAATTGCTCAGAATATTGCAACACCAAACTGGGACACTAACAAGCAATGACAAATTGATGGTGTTAAAGCTCATTAAACGATTCACCCCAAATGTCAAAGGATGCCTTAATCACTTTGTCATTTGGCCCCAAAAAAAAAAAAAAAAAAAAAAACTTGCAACAGGAGGGGACATTCCCCCTCACAAAAAAAACGGTGTTGTATAGACAACCAATTAAGCTTATAACAAATTTCTTTTCAGTTCACCCGGATTACCCACAAAAAAGCGCAGCCGTTAGTGCCACTCCGCAAGAAGATGCTGTTGTGGTGACGTTTTGTCGGCTCAGCTCAGCTCATCGTCCACTCAGTGGCGGCTTTACGGCTTTGCGGCTACACTGCGGTGATCTTGACTTTATGTTGCACCTTTTTGCGGATTAAGAGTGTGTTGTTGCTGTTGTTGTGGTTGTTGTTAGCCCAAAAGCGAAATTGACAAAGACATGCGATTTGACGTAGATTGTGCGGTTTTCGGTTTCTTTAGCCCTCAGCATTTGTATGCCGGTCGCATTTTGTGCGTTTTCCACCCCCCCGCTCGCACTTTAATGCGGCCATCGTCGAATCGATGCACTCATTGGCAGGCATTCAGCCGCTGCGTGCGGCTCCACTCATTCATGCATTTATTTGCCCATTATCGGTGCCCTTAAAATGCATCCTTCCTTTTGCTCCACTTGCCCATCGCTTCCTCTCAGCCTCTTCTTAGCAGCTCCAGCACTTTGGCAGCTGCACGCAGGTGGCATTTTCACGCGGCCCTGTGAAATCGCTTACACTTCGCCCTGTGTTTGAGTGCACCGTATCACAATCTTCGCCTCGTTTGACCAAAACGCCTGGCCCGTTGTGCCTCTTTTGTTGAAGTTGCGAATTTAGGATTTTCGGGTAGCAAAGTCGACAATTTGTATAATTGACAAATTGACTGGTCACTTTGTCTGCAGTCGAAGGAGACGCAGGAGGTATGTATGTAAGGAGTGCGTAGATACAGCAGCAGTACGAATCGATCGATTGCACGTGGGAGCCAATACAAAAGACGCCGCTAACAAGGTGAGAGAAACGGAAGCTTCTTTCATGTGATAATTTCACAGCTTTTCATGTTTGCAAATGATTACAAGTAGGCCTAAGTGTGTCTGTGTATGCGTGCGTATGTTTCAGCATAAAGGGATTAAAAATCGAGTTAACTATTAATCACTGATTTTAGGGCTTTCTTGTTTACTTGAGAGCAAGTCTTCACCTGCTTATTTGAAAAAAAGTTAACACAATTAAACAGAAAAGATAGGAAATCTGTTGAACTGGCAATAATCAAACGGGTTTTATGGGAAGATTTTATATTAGCAAATATGGCAACGGAGTGACGAAAGGCCTTGAAATAATAGATACTAAGTATGTTTTTATCCTCCGTATAAGAAGAACAAATACTGTCAACAGACAAACTTTGAGCATCTTCATACAGTATCTTCTCGTCATGATGGAGTTTGGCAGGGAAATCCATTGTCACACTTTTCACCTGGAGATCAGGCTTAAACTGGACGCCTACGTCGACGGCGCAAAGATACCGACGGTCAGCCTTCCCAAAATCCTGGCGCGGTCTCGTCTCCTACGCAGCGCACGCGTTAGCTGCTTGTAACAAATTTCGAGCCAGCAACAACGTCCTCATGTCCCTTGCCGGCAGCTCTTGAGCAGTGGACAAAGAGATCATGCTCATAATATATAAAGGGCTCGGCCGGTCGGTGGCTAACTACGCAGCGCCAATGTGATTGGCAAGAACGAGCGACGTCCAGTGGAGAAACTTACAAACCTACCAGAATGCAGTTCTACGTACGGCTGCAGGCATCACTTTCACGAAGACAGCCACAAAGAGCACAACACCATGCTATCACCGTAGAAACTACCCTAACAACGCTCTGTGCTTCGAAATGATCTTGGTGCTAGTCTGGTGTTATTATATCACACCTTCTAAGTAACTGAACTTTCGGTACAAAAGTATTAAAAGGCACAAATTTAGTAAAAAGAAACTTGCGAAGGACTTGCCGCCACTATCAACGAGGTTGTCTAGTCGTCCAGTGTTCCGATCGCTGCTAGGCTATCAGAGTAGATAGTTACTGAAGTCAGATTAAAAGCCTTTGCCCAGTAAACGCATACGCTGATTGTTCACCGTCCTGCAACTCCTAGCAATATATTTCCTAATTTACTAGAAGACGGCGAAAGTCCAATACATGTCGATCCAGCTCAACATCGAGCACTGACTTGCCCACGATCGCTTTGGGAGAATATTGTTGGGCTTGGCATGGTAGCTTTTTGAAGCTCAGCTGGAAAGATGCCATATCACCCAGGGGATTTGACGGCCATTTGGAGGTTCCATCATTTGTGTAACTGTGTAACAACATCAAGATGCACAAGAGCAAGGACCAAACGAGAGAAGTGAATATTAACAAGAAGCCCAAGTATATCGTCTTGAGACGGAGTCCACGCGCCAGTTGGCTGCAACGCGTAACTGAGATAGAATGGACATTTTGATAAAGTCATTTATAACTGGTTGCCTTCCAAGTGTTCCTCAATATATCACAGAAGTATTGCCATCAGGTACTAGGAGCTCTTTGGACGGTTTCTTGTTGGCATACCATCATCCGTCGCGTATCGTCTTACTGCAGGAGCTTCTGTTCCTCTTCCTCATCGATTAAGAAATTTCTTCTTTAAACTTGATTACCGAAGTCGGTACAGAAACCGCATGCCCAGCTTATCTTACTTAGGAGAGTGCTGCTGGCCGTATTCATAGGCAGGATAGTGTTCGTCTGCAATATATGACCGAAACACTGATCTAGTTTGAAGCCTCAAAGAAGTTATTGACAACGAAAAAAGATATTTTTTTTTAAGAAAATACTAGTTATTTACTTAGTACATATTTGTCTTTTTTATTTTTTTTATTTTTAACTATAAACAGGCTTAGGTTTTTTGTCTTCCGGTTTCATTATGCATACAAAATTTTACTCCACTTATTTCTAACAATTCTTACTAATCTTAAATAAATATTTTCCAACAAATTCACACTTACTTACAACTAAGGAAATTTCTATAATTCAACACAATTTTAAACTTAATTTGTATTTTTTAACTCAGTCATTTGCATCTCACAACAACAACAAAAATACTGCTACGGCTACATACATACGTCTTCATTCGGCGCAACCACTACGTTGCACCATCATCGCATTTCGTTTTAGCGTAACAAATCGCCCAACGCCGATATATAAGTTTGCGCCATTTGTAGTGTCTCGTGCTTGGAAAGCTGACGATCGTTGCCCAGACAGGGCAGGTATTGCCGCAACCGATCGAAGGCCTGATTCAGATTCTGCATGCGACGGCGTTCTCGCGCATTTGCCGCCAAGCGACGCTTACGCTTGATGACCGCCGAGATTTGTTTGCCGCGACGCTTCTTAGTGCCGGATTGCGCGATGCCGGCGGCTGCGCCCTCTGTCTGCATAGTGCCGGATTGGTCGACCAGCTCGAAAGAGCCATCAGCGCCTTCGTAATCATCGTCAGCGCCGAATAGTAGCATGTGATCGTCAACTTCGTCATCATCGACGCTATCGCCATCGAATAACGCGGCGGCGTGATCAAAATCGAAACTTTGGAAATCTGACGTGTAGGCGTTGTTGGTAGTTAAATGTGGATTCGCGCTAATCGCAGCCGCGGCATTGGTGGCTATGGAAACAATGGTGTCGCTGGAGATCGGTGGCAATTGAGCGGACGAGGTTGGCGCTGTTTTCGGTGTGCGGCGTGTGTAGGAACGCTTTGCTTTGGTTGTTACACTGCTATTGCTGCTGCTGCTGCTGCTGCTGGTAGTTCCTTTGGCGGGACAGGCTTTTGGACTGCACGTTGATGACGCTGCTGTTAATCCTGTTAGCTGTGTAGACGACGCTGGCACTGACGGAGATTCCAAATGCAAGCCGAATTGCGTAACAGTTGCATGCAGTGCATGAGCGCCATTGTGTATGCCGTTCGCATAGATGGTATTGAGATCCACATACTCAGGACTTTCGGAACGATGACTCGCGGGGGAGGAGGTAATCCAGCCATCGGAAGATGCCTGCTCGAAGGTGATGAAACCGTTGGTCGGCAGAAAATTGTGGGTGGGAGCACAATTGAATTGTTGCTGCTGCTGCTGCTGCTGTTGCTGCTGCTGTTGATGACTATTATTGCTGTGGCTAATCAATGGCGGTGGATTGTAGGCGCCCATTGGATTAAAGTACGTTTCGTTCGCATTCGATTTGAATGCCTGTAAATCCTCGGAAGTTTTATAATAGTAGCGGTATATCTCACTGGACGACATCTTGGCTAACGGTGTCGTTTTATTTCGAACTCAAGAAAATCTTAATTCAAAACAATATACAGACTGCGGTGCAACCTTCACGTTCACGTCCTGTGTGCGTATGCCTTCGTCGGCCTACTGGTGGCGATATTTATATCGATTCCCTTATTCACTAGCAACTCACCACAGTCGGCCGGCAAGGTAGACGACAGGTAAAAACCTAAATGAGTGTTCTCTCGCACGGTGGTTGCCAGCCAGTCAGTCCTTCTTAGCCATTGTTTTTGTACAGCGTTTATGAGCTTGCCATTGCCAGTGGTTGGAGCCTTTGGATTGGGCTGCGTTTATAAGGTTTCATCTACGCCAGCTGGTGCTGGTGTCTTGGTATGCATGTGTTGGAATTTAATGTTTCAGCAAGCAACAGCAACAACAAATACAATAACAACGCTTACCAACAACATTTAATGCAAGATTCAATGTGGCTACAAAAAATCTAACGAAAAGCAACAGCACGTGCTCTCACATACCTTCCCATGGCCAATGAGGCGCTGCACTCTGCTCTGGCGCTGTGGTGGAAAAGATTTGTGCGCTTCGCTGATTGGCCTGTCAAACGCTATGTAGAAGAAGCATGTATTTGTACAAGAGTATTTTTTCATCCGAATATGCACTCAGTGGATTGCATGGAGGCATACGAATTAAATACTTAAAAAAATACCGTGTTTTTTTATTTACATACAGTAAATGTATGGGTAGACATTTTTTTATTAATAAAAACTAGACAAAGGAAATTTTGAGGTTATGTATGTAAATATCTTATCTTATCTTATCATTCAAATTTTAACAAATTAATTTTTGAACAAGAAAAAGTTTTGTTATACATACAACCTCCCTGAAACAAGCCAACTTAGGAATCTCCTCTCAAATTGTCCTTAACAGTGGAACATGTCTTAATACGATGAGCTCCTTGACGAATCAAGCAATCAATCACTCCGCTATATTCACATGTTTCTAGGGAGTCGGACTCAGTGTAAATCCGGAAAAAACATACTAAGTGCTCCTTACTAAAAAAATATAAAAGCTCAGTTAGTCTTGACTTCATTTTCGTAACTTAACTTAACTTGACTTAACTTAATATTTTGGCAAACATGCTAAATGAGAAACTTAATTAAGAAACTTAAGAACCTATAGATTTTAGATTCTTAAGTTATGGCTTCCGCGAATTTTGAGCGGTGAGAGAATCAGGTTTTCCAGATTTTCGCTTTTGTGTTTCTGAAAAATTTAAGAACGGTAAATATTTTTCGGAGGAATTCTTTTGATGTGGCATCAAGGACGACGAACGGCTGAAAAAGAAAATAAAATAAAAATATTTTCCTTTCTGGCTTAAGTTGGCGTGTTGAGTAATAATTGACGATTTCTTACGGTAAGTTATTTAAATAAAGTTAAGTCTAGACTAACCGAGCTTTTAACAACTGCAACGATACTTATATAGTATGATTCAAGCTATGTGGCCAGAGTATGATGGCGCCATCTCCCTTAGCTAGTTAGTTAATGAATTTGGACAGCCCAAAATACCTAACCACCTTATCTTATAAATTCTAAGCGTCTTGGTAGACGTCGGTATAACTAGAAGATCGACTGTGTACAAATTAAACTGTTTCAGCCTTAGTCTAGCCAACGTCGGAAAATTAACACACAAAATATGTTCCGACGTTACTCGTCTTCAAGTGAAAAACGTCATTCCGTCTCTGTGATCTGGCCAATCCGCATGCATGTGTCGAAGAGCCTGGCCTGTCTATCACTGCCTTAGATAGGACAGTCTTTTTGACATTGCATTCTCAGTTTACACACTCTGTAATTGTCAGTTTTAAGGGTAACGCATGAGGTTTTTCTCGCCATTTCGGCACCGACCAATTCCCAGCAAAGTATTACTGAGCCAATGCCAAGCCCATAAACATCCGCACTTCTCCTGTTCTCCATCCCTGATCCGTTTGAATATCTGGGATCAATGTTAGGGGACCCATTTTTCGAACCTCATATTTACACCCAATAAACATTCGGCTTGGTTAACAATTCGAAAACAATTGGATAACCAATCTTTTTTTCGAGTCCCACCTTCGATAACGAATGGGAAATAAGTTAGTATTCGATTCGAGAACTAGACCATTCTCCAGCAAAACGGAACCTTCGTTATCCAATGTATATTTCTTTCGTTATGAATTCGAAATCCAGCCCATTATCGAATCGGAATTTTAATGAGAGAGAGTGATTTTCTTTTATTTCCCTCTCTTGTTACTATGGTTTGCATCTCGAGTGTATTTCCAACGTTCATAACGTTGGAAAACTAAGGTTGGTTATGAGTTAATTCTCAGTTCGATATTCATGTTGGATATCGAAGGTAATTTTCGAACGTTCGCCAAAATGTTTATTGGGCATTAAAAAAATTCTTTTAGGATGCAGTTGAAGAACTCGTACATTTGCAAACTCTCATATTTTACCCAAGGCTGTGCTGCTTGTGACCCGATGTTGCGTATGAAGTCCAGTTGATCCTGTGGCCGAGAGTTTAAGCCAACCTTTGAAGTTTATTAAAACTTACCACAGATACAGGTCGGCATATGTAGCTATTTAAGGCATGACCGTATAATAAAAAAAGAACAGTAGTAGACACCGACTTTAAGTCAAATATTACATCGAAATCAAATCAACCTGAGTGCAAGTCGATTGAATACGCCCACTTATTTAATACCAAATCGGAATACCGAAGACCACCGTCATTGCGAGTATTTCACTACATTACCTTTTTACAAAGTCATCATTTTCGCTAATTACTAATTTATATAAAAAAAAAGAAATCTGTTGAATCACGCGTTGGTACAGCCTTCTCACACAATTTAATTAAATGAAACGGACAACCACAACCACGAAAGTAGTAATCTAAGGGGATACGGGTATAAAAAGAAATACTAAATTCGTTGCTAAACTGCGAGTACTTTTAAATAAATAATAGCCGCCTGCAATAGGTGGCGCCTTTATTAGATGCGCTGGCGCAGTGGCCACATACATACAAACACACATAAAAATGCATTTATAAGGATTGTGGCCAGCGCACGTGCGGCAACGTTCAAAAGTCTTGCGATCGCCAATTGAAGAAGGTACACACAGCCGCTTAAGTGCGCAACCATAGCGGATGAGGGCAAATTTGCCAAGTTGTAATAAACAAGATGCTGCATTGCGATATTTGAAAATGAGCGCATCGAATCTGGTAGTGCCCACAGTTAGTGCATTTAGTCCTCGGCAACTACTTTTTTTTTTTAGGCTGTGTACTTTTCCTAGTTGTGTGGACATACAGGTATGCTCGTAGAAAATATTAATGATGGCGTTGTAGTGCGAAGAGCAAATTTTTCGGCAAGCTACAAAGCCAGCGCACAACAGCACAAATATAGATAGGCAATCATAAAAACATATTTATGTATGTGGGTACACATGCTGTTATGTCCAAGTGATAAGAACTGCAATTTTCTTTTCTTTTTTTTATTCCTTCACTAATTCTAAGCCTGCTGCTTACATACGTATGTATCGCCTTAGCGCTAAGTGCTGACAAATTTTCACTCATCCCTATTCATTGCATTGAAAGAGCACGCGCTCCGTTCAGTATGTCTCGTTTGCATCCTTGCCATTAATCCCTTGTTAGCGTTTGTGTTTATGGAAATTTTACTACTTATCGTTTTTACTCTGCTTTGCCTTAAATATATGTATTCTTTATGAATTAGTTTTGCTGATTTCATAGATTTTGCGGTGAGATAGTTCCAAGCTTATTACAGTTTTCCTGTTATGTTTTTGCAAAGCAGAAGGAAGCGAAGCGCCTTCTTATTTGTGTTTCCGAGCTGCGTGAAATGAGCATTTTTGCCTTTGTTCCGGTAACCCTTGTGACCCTATAATTATCTCATTAAGTTTTCGATACGAAATTATGATTCTTTAAAGATATTTAACTTATGAGGAGGGGAACGCATTGGGATGAGCATTAGGATGCTCCAGAACTTTTTTTTGTCAACTAAATTCTGGCTGATTTAATTTCATTTTGTCGGGACCAGGACACGACTTTTTCATTACCACTTCGGGAAGGGATCAACTAGGTAACTAGTTTCGAACTACAACAAATAGTCCCAAAATTGTTCAGAAGTAGTCCTGAAGTGACTCTGAAGAAGTCGTGAACTTTTCCCGTAATGATCTTGAATAAATCTAGAAACAGTTCTGAAATGGACTCTTACCATGGTCCAAAAATGATACCGAAATACTCGTGCACTGGTCTCGAAATGGTTCTGGAATAGCTCCGAAATGAAATAGTCTGGAACTAGTCCCGAAATTGTCCTGAAATAGTCCTGAACAGATCCCGAATTGTCGAAAAAGCCTTGAATTTGTCCCGAAATTATCTGGAACTAGTCTTAAAACGGTAGACCGAAAATTTTGCTAAATTGTCCTGAACTAAACTAAAATGTTCGTATTCTTAGTCCCAAAATCTTCCTGAGATAGTGCTGAGGTAGGTTCGAAATGGTCCAGAACAAGTCCTGATACGGTCCCGGAATGATCCTGAACTAGTCCCGAAATAGTGCCGAATAAGCCCCGAAATGGTTTTTAAATAGTCCTGAGATAGTCGTGAAATGTTCATTTGTACACACAAGAAACCGTTATAGATTTTCTGCTGGAAGAAGAAAAGTGCAGCAGAAAGTCATCGGCTACTGTGTGAGATGTCCCATCAATTTCAACCTGTAAGTACTGGTTCTGACTACAGTTGCGATTGAAAACCATTGGTATAGTCCAGGAAGTCGGAAACTTGGATTATATTGTCACCTGCTATGAAAAATGGACTCGATACGACAATACAAAGCACCAGGAGGCGTATGTTAAGCTTGTGGAACCTGGGACATCGACAGCAAAGCCAAATATCCGTGGCAGGAAGGTAATGCTCTGCATTTGGTGTTACCAGAAAGGAATTATGTGTCATGAGCTTCTGAAAAATGATCAGGCGATCGGCAAATCTCTCTACAGATACCAACTGAGTGATTGAAGTGCGTGATTGCGCAGAAAGGCTGGATTGGGCAATCAGCCGT